TTAGTCTAGTGGTATGATTCTCGCTTCGGGTGCGAGAGGTCCCGGGTTCGATTCCCGGAACGGCCCTTTTTTCTCTTTTTTATAATTTTATTTATCAATAAATAGAAGGAAACAAACAAGAATATTTGTTTATCTATTTCATTTTATTTTATTTATTTATTATTATTTATTAAATATGAAATAACCCTAAACCCTAGAATCAGTAGTAGGGGTAGAACAAACCATCAACTTATCGGATTAAGCCGAAGGCAATATATATAAAATAAACATTTGTATTATATTAAAAAATAAAAATTAATAAATATTGACGAGAGAGAAAAGAGTATAAACATGCAAATAAAATAAATTATGATAAGAATAATAATACTAATGAAGGGGACAGCCAACAAATACTGGAGAGGAGGTGAAGTTGTATTCAAAGAAAAATATATATATATATATATAAATATATTTTATTTATAAAACAATTTCTTTAATTTTTTTGCTTTCAAGAAAATATATCTTTTTTTTGGCCGGCATTGATTCTCCTTTTTAGTATTATATGTTTTGTTTCTTTTTGTTTGTGTTTATATTGTTATTTTTATTAATTATATAATATTATTATTTATAATTATTTACTATTAAATTTTATTTACATTATTTATTTCTATTTACTTCTGATATACAAACCCTGATGTGTATGCATAACGGGGTGTATGCGCAGTGGGGTGTATGCTGAGGTGGCGATGAACACCCATGAATCTCCCCTCTTATTTCTGCTGTTTAATATAAAAATAAAATATAATTTATATTTATAATTAATATATTTTATATATTTTTCGTATAATTTATCTCTTCTATTTGTTTATATAATTTATTTTTATATTTTTTTTAAAAGGGCCGTTCCGGGAATTGAACCCGGGACCTCTCGCACCCAAAGCGAGAATCATACCACTAGACTAAACGGCCGCTCAACCGGCCCCTAGACCCTAAACCCTAAACCCTAAACCCTAAACCCTAAACTCTAAACCCTAAACCCTCAACACTGAACCGTAAACCCTACACACCTTCAACAATCCTAAACCCTCGTACCCGAAGGAGACAATCTTACTACCAGGCTAGAAGACCGCTATCCCATAAACCCTAAACCCTAAACCCTAAACCGTAAACCCTAAACCCTAAAACCTAAACCACTGGACTATTAACATCTGAATTCGCCTTCAACTTCAGATGCTGCTGCTGCTGCTGCTGCTTCTGAAACAGCAGCAGCAGCAGCAGCAGCAGCAGCAGCAGTGTCTGTGCTCATACAGCCCAACAACATTAACGATGAGGGTTTATCAGCGACATAAGAATTAGGGTTTAGGGTTTAGGGTTTAGGGTTTAGAGAGGCCCCCTAGAACTCCAGTTTCTCTATTCGATTGTCTCTAACAAACGCCTCATGCGCGGGACTGCCCTTCACCTGCATCCAGCACAAAACCCTAAACCCTAAACCCTAAACCCTAAACCCTAAACCCTAAACACCAACCGCTAAACCCTAAACCCTAAGCCCCTAACCGTTAACACTATATCCTAAACCCTAAACCTTGGACCCTAGACAACAACCCCTAAACCCTAAACCCCAAACCCTAAACCCTAAACCCTAAACCCTAAACCCTAGCTCACGAGGATATGAAAGGCAGCAATGCCCGGGAAGCGTTTAACCCGCTGCAGCAGCAGAGCCAGCGGAAGAGACATGGGGAAGCTCACCAGCACCCCGCCAGGCAGCCCGCACTGCAGCAGCAGCAGCAACAGCAGCAA